TGTGCCTTATAGATGAGTTCAGGGCACTCAGATTCTGACCTCATTACAGGTTTGGTCCAAACATGGACTGTCCTTGACACCAAGGCCACATTTGACTGAGTGTCGCACCAAGGAGTTTGAGTGAAACTGGAGTCAATGGGAATCAGGGGAAAATGGTTGGTGTCATACCTGGCACAAAGGAAAATGGTTGTGGCTGTTGAAGGTCAGTCATTTCAGTTCCATGACATACCTGGAGGAATTTCACAGAATAGTAATCATTGGCCTAAACATCTTCAGTTGCTTCATCAATGACCTTCCCTCCATCAAAAAGTCAGAAGTGGGGATATTCAGTGATGACTGCACATTGTTCAGCACCATTTGTGATTGTTCAGATACTGAAGCAGTCCATGTTCAAATGCAACAAGACCAGGACAATATCTAGGTTTGGGCTGACAAGTGGTAAGTATCATATACAACACACAAATGCCAGACCATCTCCAACAAGAGAGAATCTGATCACCACCCCTTGACATTCAATAGCATTACCATTGCTTAAACTCCTAATGTCAACATCCTGAGGGTTACCATTGATGAGAAACTGAACTGGACTTGACATATAAGCACTGCAGCTACAAGAGCAGTTCAAAGACGAGGGATTTTGCTGTGACAAACTCAGCTCCTGGCTTCCCAAATCCTGTTCACCCATCTACAAGGAACAAGTCAGGAATGTAATTGAACACTCTCCACTTACCTGGATGAATCTAACTCCAAGTACAATCAAGAAGCTCGACAACCATCCAGGACAAAGCAGCCCACTTGACTGGCATCACATCCACAAACATCAACTCCCTCATCTACTGACGTTCAGTGTGTAAAGATGCATTGCACAAATTCACTAAAGCTCCTCAGACAGCACCTTCCAAACCCACAACCATTACCAGATCAAAGGACAAGAGTAGCAGATACATTGGAACACCACCACCTGCAAATGCCCCTCCAAGCTAGTCCCCATCCTGACTTGGAAATATATCACCGTTCCTTCTGTATTTCTGGATGAAAATCCTGGAAATCCCTCCCTAACAGCAGTGTAGCTGTAGCTACATGAAATGGACTGCAACGGTTCAAGAAGGCAGCTCACTGCCACTTTCTCAATGGCATTTAGGGGTGAGAAATAAATGCTGACCCAGCCAGTGACACCCACTGCCCCTGACTGAATTTTAAAAATGATGTTAGTAACAACAGCAGTAGCGGAAGTCATCATCCAAAGCCTTTCTTTTGCCCAAATTTTGCTGTAGGCTGTCCTGAGCTCGCCTATTGTCTGATTTGCTGTGAATGGAATTGAAAAGTGTGGAAGAATCATTTAGCAGCCTAGCCCTGAATTTACAAACAGTTTATTACCTTTTGCTTTGTTATATTAAACTGTATTTACCATGATACCGTTCACTCACATAACATTTGTACGTTCGTTGGGAAGTTTCGGTTTTTTTTCGCAGGTCCATTTATCCATGTGTCTATCAATCTTGAATACACTTCTTTCTATTCCCTAGTCTAGATCATAAGTGTGAGTAAGAGGGAAATGCGGGGAGAGTCAATCAGAGCTAATTAATGGGGATTCCACTCGTAACTGCCCCTAATCCATGAATGTCCTTTTGTTCCAACTTTCTGAATCTGTTTCTTAACCAGTTTCCTATTTATCCCATGAGGTTAGGTCCAATTTCATGCACTTCAATTTTTGATAGCAATTTCATCCACAGAGATGTATGGTGAAGTTCTGATGAAAGCCCTAGAATCAATCACTGGAACTGGTTCAGCTAGTTGATAGCGCCCCAGGAAGAGGTAGCTGTGCTATGTTAGGCCTTCGTGTCTCCAGGCCAAGGAGGAAGAACTGGCAGAGACATCTATTCTTGATCACTGTGTACCCCTGGTGTTCATGTGTGGATACTGCCTGAGAATGGCATTGATCCGGGCTGTCGTATTCCCTGTAGTTGAATTGCCTGCTGACATCTGCTTTCACAGAAGAAGAATGGCCTCTGAGCCAAGGATTTGGATGACCTTCAATGACAAGGCCAATATACCACAATACAAGTTAGTATCTTCAAAGAAGGAAGAGGTGAGAATATCATAAATAGATATAACAGCTTTGCAATATTCACGTTATTTGATGACCAAATGGCCTCGCTTTTGTTTAGAAGATGGAGGCCAGGATATATGTATCACCACTATTATGAACCAAACAATTTCTTCAGGATAATTCATCAGAGGGTGTAATTGAAAATCTTCTTTTTTACAGATACTATTTATTGATCACGATGAACATTTCAATTACAAAACTCATAATAAAATGTTGATGCAAACACAGTAGTTTATGTAAAGGAAGAGAATCAGTGGGTTACAGACATAAATATTTCAATTTCAAATTTCAATTCAAACAATGAAAACAAAAACCACAGTTTCATAATAAACGTTGCATTATTACACCACAAGATGGTACTATTCACTCTTTTCAATTCATTTAATAAAATGGTAAATGAATGTTTAGTGAACGTTTATTTTTTAACAAAAGAGATTTCAATTTTCACTTTGCTATTTGTCCACATATTAGTTTTAAGGGCTGATTTTGATATTCATGTTGTGGGGGTTGGGAAGTGAGATGGTACAAGTTTAACAGTAAGTGATGGCAAAAGGGGCATTGACAGACATGGCACACTTCAAACATGCTCCGCAGGTCCAGTGTCTTCAGAGGCAAGGAGGCCAGGAAAACCATTGTGTAAGCAGTGCTGTATGTCACACCTTCAAAGACAATATTTAAAACTGAAAGTTGCTATATCAACATGCTGTTGCACTGTAGTTGTACGCTTGGGGCCTGTCAGCAAAGCTGCTGTAATCTCCTAGACTGCTCTTAAACTAAAAATCTTAGTTACTGGGCACAGATTTTGTGGCAGGATATAAGTTTATTGAAGAATTACATATATGTTTTAAAATTTTAATTACAATTTAAGAACAAAAATATTTTCCTTCTGCAAACTTAAAAAAATCTACTCCCTACATGTCCCTGTTCTTTGACTCAAACTCCTGGGTTGCTTTTTCTTAGTTATCACGTGCAACTTTCAGTGAGATTTTCTAATGTCAGGGCAATTATAGTATAGGTCTTGCTTGTAGACTCTTCATGTCACTTGTGTATTTCTGTTGCTTCTTCTAGCACTCTCCTAATCACACTTATCCTATCACTCTATTCTGATTCCAGTGTCACAAGAGATTTGCTCGAAATAATCATTACCTTTTCCAGCCAGCTGCCAAACAATAAACTTCACTGCATTTATCCATCTCTTTCAATATCAGCTACATGGGTAAAGGCTGCTTTTGATCCCACTGTCCCCACCCCCAATACAGCACAAAAGAATTACCAACATGTCTCAACATTACACAAGCAATCGCAGGCAGAGTCCAATAGTTCAGGTTGTATGTGTGCAAGCGTGCTCAAAGTTAGCTCATTTTCCTGCAGGACTACTTTGCTGATTTCTTTAGGTTGCCTTTGAGATTCTTTAATGTTTAAGTTTCACAGTTCAATGCTTTTTATTTATTTTCTTAATATGCTTTCTCTTTTATTTATGTAAATTTTGATACAAGCTTTAAAATATCTCACGAAGTGCAAAATGGACATTTAGTATAGAGTTATTTTTAAAAATGCAAATCAACTTAAATATTTAAATAATTGCAGTTGATGCAAAGTAAAGTGCTTTTGTCACATTACAAAAATTAACAACTTGACTGTTAATTAAGAAATGATATTAAAACTGCAGAATTTATACTCACTTAGATTATCAAATGATTTACCTAACAGTATGGGACATTTTTATTCATTTTGCAAGTTTTGTTGATGAGTTTTATGGTTTGGTTTTGAAGGATAATATCCTTTCTTTCCTGATATGATCCCACAGAAGAGATATTCTAGTCACATTAAATTGTTCATGGGTGTTTAATGCATTGACCAGCATCAACATAAATTTGATCTCCTTTTGTATTCAATACTAATCAGTGCACAATTAACACACTTCTACATTTTCAAAGTAGAGGAGTCAATGACAGTAGCCATATGACACTCCTGGAACTGATGTTCAATATCTTATTTAGTTAACTTGTGTTAGAATAGTTTATTTGAAAATGGGACTGTGTCAAGGCATTCAGTTGTATTATGCAGCTTAACTATGAGCGTTGCAGGAGGTGTAAGGATCTTTGCAGACGTGGCATAGGCTAGCAGTAAATGTGAAGTAAATTAGCTGGCAACACTTTAGTATATTTATCTGATAAATGGCTTTAATGGGTATTCATTGTTTTGGTTGATTCATTAGAGTGGGTTACCTTCTGCATTTACTCTCAGGTTTTGCAGGAAATGTTACACAGTATTAGGCTGGGCTGTCATATCCTGTCAGGCATGTTGATTTCTTAAATGGGAGGCCAGAATCATCAAACAGAACAACTTTCTTCACATCCAATGAACATTTATTTTGTATTTGATCAAACAGAATGAAGACTTCTCCTTGACTCCATTTTTTAAAACAAATCATTTTTTGATTCTTGGAAAGATGGAACTATACTTTGCAATATTGATAACCTTCAGAAAAGCTTTTCCCTTTGAATGTGGTCACTTACTTATAAGTAACAATATTCCTTTCCATTTTAGCAATTGTTATATCCTCTCATGATGTTCAAGCACTGACTGAATTTTAGCGAAGAACTAATAAGATATTTATTCATTAGGGTCAATTCAAAAGGTCCCAGGAATTCAGTCCAATGAGAAGTCATTAGTTTAGTAGCAGGATTGGAAAGTATCTAAATGTGCATGTGTGTGATTTTATCTGTGTACATTTGTGGAGAATACTTTTGGATTAAATAGCTAAACAAGGTTCCAAGTTCAAACCCCAGTGTACGCAAAATTAGCAGTTTCAGACAGGGGAAGTACACCAAACTTACTCATTTTACCTAATACACATGATATTTATACAAAAATTTGAAAATCTTACCTAGAGCTAACCACCAATGCCACACTAGTGGAAATTCAGCCATAACTGAAAAGAAAATTGATTATCAAAATCATTAATTTCTTTACTGAGACACTTACAAATTATTCACTTGCAAAACAGGAAATCCAGAAGATCATCAGATGCCATTTCTGCTACTTCCAGTGGGATGCCACCACCAGACACATATTCCCCTCCCCTTCCTTGTCCGCCTTCCGCAGGGACCGTTCTCTCTGATCCACTCTTCCTTCACCCGAAACAAGCCCCATGGCCCTATGGCACCTTCCCTGTAACCGGCGAAGGTGCAACACCTGCCCATTTACCTCCTCCCTCCCCAGTACCCAAGGGCCTAAACATACCTTCCACGTGAAGCAACACTTCACCTGCACTTCCCAGAATCTAGCTTACTGCATTCACTGCCCACAATGTGGTCTCCTCTACATTGGGGAAATGAAGTGTAGACTGGCTGACCGTTTCACAGAACATCTATGTTCTGCTCGCAAAAAAGACCTTAAGCTACCTGTTACCTGCCACTTTAACACACCACCCTGCTCCCTGGCCAACCTCTCTGTCTCCGGCTTGTTGCAGTGTTCCAGCGAAGCTCAATGCAAGCTGGAAGAACACCTCATTTTCCACTTGGGGATCCTGCAGCCCTCTGGACTCAATATCGAGTTCAATAATTTTAGGGCCTAACCTCTCCCATATCCCAGTCCCCTACCCCACACACCAGGCCTTGTTACCACACAGCCTGCCATTACACACTACCTATTGTTAGTCACTAACAGTCCCCATTAATAACTATTCACCCTCCTAGACAGATCATTATCAACTCCTCTTTCTATCCAATTGCTCGTCTCTCTCTTTGGGCTCTATCCTATCGTTTACTCCCCACCCCATTCCCCTCCCTATTTTCTGCATATAACTGGTGTTTTCCCAGCTACCATCAGTTCTGAGGAAGGGTCACTAGATCCAAAATGTTAACTCTGACTTTTTTTCTTCACAGATGCTGCCAGACCTGCTGAGTTTTTCCAGCAATTTCAGTTTTTGTTCCTGATTCACAGCATCCGCAGTTCTTTTGGCTTTTATTTAGGACATCAATTCTAGCTCCAAATAAATTTCTGTAACATTGCAAACAGTTTGATAATTCAGTTATTAATTCATTATTTTAGTTTTAACTAGTAGCATCATAGAAATGGGAAACACAATATACATGACCAGTCATATACGAACACATTTATGTGCATGGATGCATTCATAATTATATTGACCCTGAAATTTAACAGAAGATGTTCTGATCTTTTGCTGCAATCAAAATGGGGAATCAGCAAAACTCCAAGAGCAATGGTGCAAAAATCCCTTTTACCTGCTTTTATTTCTGCGGATTTGTTGATGACAATAACCAATTGAGGCAAGAGATAAAGATAAAACTTGTGAAAATTTGGCCAAACTCCACTGCAGCTTACAATTAGATATAAAGAATGCAAGTTATATTCTTAAAAATTAGTGAGTACTGCTCACATAATGACAAATTTATTTACAGTCCTTTACAATTATAATAAGTAGTTGAATATTACTTTATCATCCTATTCGATTTCACTGATTTAACCCACGCTAACATTTCACCTATGTCTGCACAAATATTGATGCACACACTGTAGTTATTTAACTTACAGCTCAGCTAATTGGGTACAATGCCTTAGCTAAGATACCTCAGATAAGAAATCCAATGTCATACCAATGGGTGGAATCTAATAGAGGTCTGAATGATGTGGCTATAACAAGATGAATAGCAGAATCAGGTGAGAAGTGCAGTGAGGTCCATCTCGACTTTAAGAGAAACTCACACCATCTTTTATATGCCTTCATAAACTGAATGGTGATATGCTCACTGGTGGTAGCAAGCTACCAGTTGATGGGGATTAATAATTGTTAAACAACTTGTTAATGACACAACTTTCCTCATTAATATTCAGCATCCCAGCTTGCCAAACTCACCAAACAAGGTCAAAGTCAGGAAACTCAACTAGGAAACTAAAGTGAACACCTTCAACTCATGGATTCAGCTTGCCTCTTGCTCCAAATGATCTCCATGTTGGAGACAACTCAGGGCATGCTCCATGGACATCTGCCATATAAATCATATGATAATTAACATTGACCTTTGACATGTACTAGATCATGGCACATCTCTGATCCCCTTACAAGATGCTTCTACACTTCAATGCTGCACTTTTGGCTGTAACAGCAGCTATCATTGTAATGCTGCAGCAAGGACACTGTGTGATCAGGAACATACGACCAGCTCATGGACAGAGCCAGGTTGCAACTCCAGGCTCTTAACGCTCAAATTGTTCACTCATTCTACAGCATGCCTTGCATTGCTTTTTTGCCCATTACTCCCTCAGACAGAGATCCCAGGCTCATACTTCTGCCATTTAGTGCAGACACAAAGCCATAAAGTTTGTCACAGGCCTCACTCCAGTCAAGGGAGATAGCCTTCATTCAGGGTTTTCAGCACAGTAAATCAAAGCCTATCTAAGCCCTGATCAGGGCAGCCAGAGACAGCATGCTCATTAGGGGTGAGGAGTTGAATAACAAGCAGCAGACTACCCACCTTGACTCTTTCTGCCGTATTGTGGGCTATTTACCTCATTGAATAAGAGAGAGATGTATATTACAGGAGATGAAAGTGGTTGCCACAGCTAGTACCATTGGTGCAGGTGAGGAGGTGTCCCAAGAGAGTGAGTAGGCTGCATAGAGGGCATGCAGGGTTTAATGATGTTGAGTTTTGGGTTGGGTGACAAAGAGTGGACAAGCAAGAGTGAGAGTGGTGAAGCATGAACCTTGGTGGGAGGTGGGTACTGTAGGAGAGACAGAGTGAGTGTGAGGTATCAGGGAAAAGGTGGCACTCCTGCTGCTACAGTGGAGAAAGAATTTACCTTCTTCCTGCAGTGCTGTGCATTCCTCCAAACAGCTGATAGTGTTTTAAATCAGACCAGGCTGGCAAGGCCTAGTGTCATAGCCTCCATTGGCCTTGGAGGGAGTGCAGTGTAGGTTTACAAGAATGATACCCGGCCTTCAGGATTGTTATGAGGAGAGATTACACAAACTATGGCTGTTTTCTCCAGAATTTAGAAGTTTAAAAGGTGATCAGATTGAAGTCTTCACAATATTAACAAGATAGGGTTAAAGAAGGCAAACTATTTCCACTGGTTGAGGATTCTAGAACTAGGGACATAGTCTGAAAATTAGGGCCAGACCATTCATGGGAGAAGTTATTAAGCATACAAAGGGTAGTAGATCTCTCTTCAACAAACAGCAGTGGATGCAGGATCCATTGTTAATTTTAAATGTGAGATAGATGCAGTTTTGTTAAACCAATGTATTGAGGGATATGGGCCGAATACAGGTGTTAGGACTTATGGCACAAATGGAGTTAGGCCATAGATCAGCTATGATCTCAATAAATGGTGGAACAGGTTCAAGGGGTTGAATGACCTACTCCTGTTCCTATGTTCCTGAGAGAGGAGGAAGTCCTGCATCAGCATCACTATTCAGCAGGACCTCTGGGATCTATGCTGCTCAGAGCATGCCAATCAGCATGCTGACACATTTACAATGCCATGCATGGTCCTCAGGCTCTGTGCACTGAAAATAAATTAGAGGAAGCAATGCTACCACCCTTCATTGTAATGCTGAACAGAGACAAGCACTCATCTTATCAATTGAACAAGGCTGCTTCTCAGGGTGCTTCCTTGCCTCTGGGATCCTGCCTGCAAAGTGGGGCTCCACATTCCCGCAACTGTCCGATCTGAGCTAAACATCAGGAATTGCGCTAGATACATCTGGACTGACAGTGGTCATCCTGATGCATAATGTACTTTCAAATATGGCACAGGTGCAAGAGATACTGCTCTTTGGGTGGATATCCCCTGATTTCAGGAATGGAGTGTGGTAAGGTAGGGTGGGAAATGGTCCTGAGAAATGCCACAGGGGCATGGTTGATAATTAATGAGGCAAGCTTGGTACAATACAGCAAGAAAACCTGCAAGGCCTTGGTGGGGTGGGGGGTAAAATACCTTCCAAAAAAGTCAATACAACTCAGGCATAGCCAGAAAAAGTAAGGTTCAGCCCACTGTTGAAGTATGGTGAAGGTCATATAGACAAGATACTGAACATGTCTGTCATGTGAAAGAAACTGCCAGGATTCTTTTGCAAAGTCATGTTCCGCACATTTTTTCAATGGATGCAGTGCATTTATACAGTGAGTTAACAGAGTCGTTCATATTGGAATGTAACAGGCAAATCCACTGCCTATGTTGAGCTAACTGAATCAGCCAGGAGGATAAGAATCGATCTTTTTGCCCTTAGATATGGAGGGGAGAATTGGCCAGTTTAGGGAACAGATCCCTGCAAATAAGAAACATTGAAAATTGAAGAGGTTTGGATTAGTAACGAAGAATGGGATGAGGAGGTGTGGGTGGTGAAGAGGATGGTGGCAGAGTGGTGAGGTCAGACCAACAATTGGAAAAAAGGGGTGAGTCTGAAAACATTGCAAGTTCAGCGCGGGAGGGTGATGTGGAACAGGATGGGACATATGGTGGCTGATCACTGCTGAAGACTTGCTTGAGGTACCAGGAGCAGTACTTCTGCTCCTCATCAACCACAACGAGTACAACAAAAATAACTTATCTGCTGGATCCAGTTGCTTCTATCCGCCTTTAGCTGCTCTTTTCCCCAGAGCTCTTGAAAGGCATACCAAGCAGCACTAACATCAAATCACTGTCAAAATACCAGGAATGGATCCTCAATTACAGACTATATTTGGGGATTCCTCTCCAAATGCTGATGACTCAGATAACCTCAAACCTCACCACATTTATTACAGAATTTGGCCCAAAGATTCTACCCCTACCCTAAGACTCTTACCATGCCTGTCATGGTGGGTTCAAAATTTTGTTAGTTTATGGTTTAGGAACTTAACAAAAAGACTTGTCTATGAAACACTGGCATATGATATTTTAGCCATTATATTCATGAATGAAAAA